TGGTTTATTTCTTTCTTCATTATTTTTAAGGGCGAGAGGAGGCGCCGGTGGCGGCCCCCGGGCACCGCGCCCCAAACCCGCCCGCTGGCAATGCCATTACTCCCGCCACAACGCCCTTTCGCTGCTTTTCCTTCTTTCCCATTTTAAAAATCTTATTTCTACTTTTTCCCCCTATCTCTTCTAGTGCTTTCCCCCCTTTTCCGCTTCTAAAACCTTATTTCTTCTTTTTTTTTTTTTTCCCCCCCCCCGAGCCCCAGGGGGCTGCAGCCCCTTCTGTCACCCCGGGTTAGCAAGGATTAAACCAACTCGTTTGCTGTCAAAAACGGGACAAAACCCCTTTTTTCCCCACTTCGGAGAGGGGGAAATGTAGCTGGCATCTCTGGGAATAAGCCACAGCCGGCGCTTCTTAATCATGTTGAAAAATAAATAATAAATTGGTGTTTTTTGCTCCTCGAACAGGAGCCGATTGCAAACATGGCAATGTGCAATCCAATGTATTTTTTATTACTGTAATATTGTACATCACCCTAGCCCCACGGGGCGTTTTGGGGGAAATACTTTCTGGATAAGTGTATTGCATTTTTCTTCTTCTTCTTATATATATCCAGAAACAGGGTGAGCAACAGGCAAGGAAGATCCCTGCCCTAAAGCACTGGCAATGGGCCCAATGTATTTTTTATTACTGTAATATTTTACATCACCCTAGCCCCATGGGGCGTTTTGGGGGAAATACTCTCTGGATAAGTGTATTGCATTTTTTTCTTCTTCTTCTTCTTCTTATTGTTATTATATATATCCAGAAACAGGGTGAGCAACAGGCAAGGAAGATCCCTGCCCTAAAGCACCGGCAACGGGCTAAAACGTAACTTTCCCTCCTATTTAAGGCTTAATGGCTCAAGGTACCGACCTTAACACTTTTACATTAAGGAGTATCATCAGCAGTGCCCATCACTACGTTTAACTTTTAATTTTAGGGGGAAATAAGGAAATTAAAAGCAGAATATCCTCCCCCTGGCAGCAGTGCTCCCTCCTGGCCCACTCTGGCTCTCGCCTTTTAATAAATCCACAGAGGCCAGTTTGCTTCAACACATTAACCCGGCAAGAGAGAAACGCTGGGCCCTTTTCCAATGTATATAGGAGGGAAAAGGGCGTATTTTTTACCATTTTTTATTATTTACCACTTATTATTAAAGTGCTGATGTGGAGAAGAACGCTTGCAAAAAGTAAGTTTTTAGAGAGGATT